GAGGCGGCGGTGCCATGTGGACCCTCCCCGTGAGGCCATCGGTGGAGTTCCCCATGGGGCCACGAAGCGTGTGAGGTGTGTGCCGACATGGGGCGGTGGTGCCATGCGGAACCTATCACGGAAACCTCCGGTAGAGCTCCCCATGGGGCCACGAAGCGCTGTGCTGGGTGTGGGAGACGCATGCGAACTGCGCCACTGGGACCTTCGGTGGGTCTCCCTGTCGGTGGAGCCCCCTATGGAACCACGAAGCGCTGTACTGACTGGGGGCCCATGGGGTACGGAGCGCTGTACTGGGTGTGGGAAACGCATGCGAGCTGCGCAACTGGGACCTTCGGTGGAGCTCCCTATGTGGCCACGAAGCGCTGTACTGAATGGGGAGACGCATGCGAACTGCGCCATTGGGACCATCTGTGGAGCTCCGTATTGGGCCACGAAACGCTGCACTGAATGCGGGAGACGCATGTGAACTGCACCACTGGGACCTTCGGTGCAGCTCCCTATGGGGCCACGCAGCGTTGTACTGAGTGGGGGAAACGCATGCGAATTGCGCCACGGGGACCTTCGGTTGAGCTCCCTACGGGGCCAAAAAAACGCTGTACTGGGTGGGGGAGACGCATGCGAACTGCGCCACTGGGACCTTCGGTGGAGCTCCCTGTCGGTGGAGCTCCCTATGGGACCACGAAGCGCTGTACTGACTGGGGGAGACGCATGCGAGCTGCGCCATTGGGACCTTCGGTGGAGCTCCCTATGTGGCCACGAAGCGCTGTACTGGGTGTGACGATGATGGTGATGATGACGGCGATGACGATGACGATGACGATGCTGATGATGATGATGATGATGATGATGCTGACGATCATGAAGTCATGTGGAAGGCAGAGGCAAGGGATGGGAGGTGGGGAGGGAGTGGGAGGGAGAGGAGGTAGGAGGAGACGCGGGGCACTGTCTCTTCAAAACAAGGACCCAACACCACAGGATAGTTGGGAATCAACTTGTGGAGGTCCGCGAGGATTTCTTGGATCTGGGCTACCACCCCCTTCCTGGCGCGGGGAACGCGCCAAGGGCGGCGCTGGAGGCGCCGCCACGGGGCCCCAGCGCGGATCCAGGATGTCCGCGCGGAGCGCCACGGAGTTTATGCTGATGGCGTTGTCTCCTCTTCGAGTCTTCTCAACCTTTCGCGTCCGATGGGCTTCTGAGGCCACAAGATGGCCCAAGAGAGCGTAAAGAGAAGCCCGCGGCTCCCAAGACGGCCCCAAGAGCGCCCAAGAGCGCCCCAAAAACGCCACCAAGAGGTTCCCAGGAGACGATTTGAGGGATCTTGAGGGGGGGCCTCGTAAAGAAGGGGCCCCCTCCCCCTTGACCTCCAAGACTGCCCCAAGAGGCCCTCCAGGGGTCCCAAGAGGCCCGCCAAGAGGGGCCCAAGGGAGCCCCAAGACCTCCAAACTGTTCAAACTAGCGCCAGCAAGGGGGCCCCAAGAGGGCCCCGGGAGAATCCCAAGAGGACCCCAACAGGGCCTCACGGAGACTAGTTCTCATCGGCAGCATTTTTGAATGTGCTGGTGGAGATTTTTTTGGGGGGGGGTCGGCGGCCGCGCGACAACGGTCTGGCGGCAACAGGCGTGTCCGGGACGGCGGAACAGGCAAATTGCACGCAAGGCGTGCGGTGCACGTGCACGTGCTGGTGGAGATACGAGAAGCGTGAAGAGTTAAAACGTCGCGAAAAATCACGATCAGAGCCCTAGACCCCGCTTTCGCATATCATTCTTCGAGCCGGATCTAGATGCGAACCCTGGGCCCGAAACAGAGCGAAATCAACGTCAACGAACCTCAGGACCCCCTCTCCAGAACCCCGACGCCGTCATGTTTTCATGGCGTGGACTCCCAGAGACTGGCGTAGCGCACAGGGGGGTAGGGGGAGGGGGGGAAAGGCTTCTTAGAAGGAGGCTGCTTTAAAGAATGCGCCGGTCTTACATCTAGAGAGAAGACCCGCGCCGTTTAAGAAGCAGGTGTGCTTTCGAAGAAACCTTCGCCATCCTAAAGCCCGGCATTTCACTGGCCCTGGAGCCCTGCGAGGGCCCCGGAAGCCGACCATCACAGGAAAATGCTATCGTGACCTCTACCCGAGGGGCCATGATGGGCCGATGCTCCACCACCACTGCCATTTGTAGGAGAGGGACGAGGAGGAGGAAGAGGAGGAGGAGGAGGAAGAGTAGGAGGAGGAAGAGTAGGAGGAGGAAGAGGAGGAAGAGGAGGAGGAGAAAGAGGAGGGGGAGGACCTCTCCATCAGAATCACCCTTCTCCCCCGTGCTACCCACTGCAAGGGTGGTGCAAACCCAGACCCCCGACGTCATGATTTGTTCACAACGTCGACCCCCAAAGGTCTGGACCCCTTCCCCGGGACAGGTTTTTCATCCTGAGTCGTTTTTGATGGTCCCGAGGCCCCGTTTGGGCCCCGGGAGGCCGAAAACAGTGAAAAACCTCCCCCGTCGTAATTTGTTCACAACGCGAAGGGGTGTGGGAAATCGGCCCATCAGGCCAGGGCCCTTTGCCTCCTGGCGATCGCCCGACGCGAAGCGCAGCGGGATGCCTTTGGGCGCGAATTCATGGGGGGCAAGGAAAGCTTTCGGGCCCCAAAGGGGAACCCTTCAGGGCCCTAGAACGGGCCTTCAGGGCCTGAAAAGGGCACCTCTCTCCCCCCACATGTATCGGCTACACGCAAGAGTGACCCTCGGTAAGAGTGCCCGTTAGTGCGCGGCTTTTTGGGGGGCCGCGGCGGGACCAAACAAGCGCGCAAGAGGATACTACCGCATGGGGTTCAGCGATCAAGGAACTCCAGTGGGCCAGCACGACAAGGTCACTCCGGCGAAGGGTCACTCTTACGTGAAGTCGACTTTCTGTCGGTGGCAAGTCATGGGAGCCTCCCATACCATCCTATCGGCTCTTGCGAATCGACGCTAACGGACGCTAAAGCGGCGCTATCTCATCGATTCCCAGACGCTAACCGACGCTAAAGAGACGACGTGTAGAGGGTATACCATGCCCCCATGATTTTAGAGCCCTCCTTGACGGGGTCCGAGTAGATGGGGTCGGAGGCTCGTGCCGCATCACCGATGCACAGGCGATACATCGGCGATGCATCGGCGATGCATCGGTGACGTCGGCGATTCCTCGGCGCCGCCGGCGTGGAGAAAGTCGGGCTCCGAATCGAGCCGCATCGGCGATGCATCAGCGATGCGGCGCGATCCTCCGACCCCACCAACTCGGACCCCATCTGGGAGGCCTATAAATTTGCGACCGAAGAATTGATCGCCCCCCATGACTTCGCGCCCAATGCCTCCTGCGCCGGCGCTCGCCGGGCGCGGGCGCCGCGGGGGCACCTCCGCGGCGCCCGGGCCGGCGCCCGCCGGAGCGGGCTGCTCGGCCTGCCCCGGCGGGCTGGCGGGGCGGGCGCTGGCGGGGCGCGCGAAGCGGGTCGCGGTCGCGCGCCGCTCGCCTCGAAGGGGAAGCAACCCCAGATCCCCTCGCGCGGTAACAAAAATCACGACGGGAGGCTTTTCGCTACATGTTCGGCCTCCAGGGACCCTCACCCGGCCCCGGGACCGTCAAAAAAACGACTCGGGATGAAAAGCCGGTCACAGCGAAGGGTCCATAACTCTGCTTGGATCGCCGCGGTGGTTGCTAAGGGGATAAGGGTGTCAGAAGTGGATGCCAAAGTGGGTTTTATATGGCCCAACCCAACATACAAGTGGGTTACAGCTTTCCGATTTGGTTTCGGATGATTAGGTAACTCCGCTAAGCGGGCTCAGACAACTTGGTCCAGATCTGTGCGTCTTTAAGCAACTTAGGGAACGTGCAACCCACTTCTAAGCTGGATTAGGCTGGATAGAACCCACCTTAGCATCCACTTGCATCCCCCCGTCCTCTTAGCAACCCCGGCGGCGATCCAAGTGGGGGTCGACGCTGCGAAAAAAACACCGACATCGGGGGTCTGGGTCTGCAGACACACCGGCAAAGACTCGGCCTGCGCACAAACAGCCCCTCCCCGACCCATCCCAGCCGGAGCTCGACCGAATCAGTGTTCTTCGCTTCCGTTTGGCCGTCCTTCTCCCTCGCGTTTGTCTTTGTGTTCGCCTTCGCTGCAAAACGAAGCCAACACGAGAACGGTCCACGGCCATCCCCACGACTCCGTGTGCGTCGATCCCTGGCTCCAGCTGCCCTCCGCAGGCCCCCCGAGCAGCCCCAGCTCGCCTCGGCGAGCCCCCCCCGAGCAGTCGGGAGGGGGCGCGCCGAGACCAGCCGGGACTCCTCGGGGGGGGGGGGCCTGCGGAGGGCGGCTGGAACTACCGGGGGAGGGCTCTCGAGCAGGGGCCGACAGTCCAAGCATTCCTACAGGCCTACCACGAGGTCTTCTCAGAACCCGAAGAATGTCTGATGACAGCAACAAATGTGTTTAGAGCATACGCCCGATGCGTTAAACAAAACAATCTCGGCCAGAAATGTTCTATGAACATTTCGTGGAGATCACAAGCGGCTCTAAAAGCATTATTTGGTGGGACGCTTCGCCACTGCTTGACTGTCTGCGCACAGCCTGGAGCCTTACAACAACACGGGCCTAGACGTGCTCGCGTCGTAGCGTCGTAGCAGAAATCACGACGGCAAATGTTGGACCGATTTCCGCCTCTAGGGGTCCCTTCTGGGCCTCGGGACCGCCAAGGAACGACTCGGGACGAAACACCGGCCCTGGGGAACGGCTCGGGACTTCCCAGGACCTCGTGTTGAAAAAGCAAGACGTCGCATGCCTGAGGGTACCTCTGCACACACGTACGCGTTCGGAGGTCCGGACGGATTTCGTGGATCGGCGCTCGACCACCCTCGCTGGCGCGCGGAGCGCGCCAGGGGCGGCGGCGAGGGCGCCGACAGGGTGTCCAGCGCCGACCCAAGAGAACCGGCGCGGACCTCCGAGAATGCATGCGATGCTGATTTTTGCCGTCGTGGATCACCGATGCCGAGGCGCGACTTCTCCTCGTCCCAGCCGCCGGAGAGCCGCTTGGAGACCGAGGACATCACCTGGGGAGCCGCCCCCCTTTCCCTCGCATCCTCCTCCAGTCCTTTGCCCCTGCCTCCTTCGCCCGCTCCTCCCTCCAACTCTCTCCTCCCCCTCCCCTCTCGCTCCCCCTCCTCCTCCTCCTCCTCCTCTCCTCCTCCTCCTCCTCCTCCTCCTCCTCTCCCTCCTCCTCCTCCTCCTCCTCCTCCTCCTCCTCTCCTCCTCCTCCTCCCCTCTCCCTCCCCCTCCTCTCCTCCTCCCCTCCCCCTCCCCCTCCTCCTCCTCCTCCTCCTCTCCTCCTCCTCCTCCTCCTCTCCTCCTCCTCCTCCTACGCCACTTCTTCCTCTAATCCCCCCTCAGCCTCCGGCGTCTGCACCACCTCCTCCTTCCTCCTCACTTCTGGTCCTCGTCTTCATCCTCCCTCCATGCTTGACTAGCCCGCAGCCGCGGGGCTCCCAGTATGCTCGCCATGATTTGTTCATGACGTGGGCTCCCTGTATGCTCCCTGTATGCTCGCCATGATTTGTTCATGACGTGGGCTCCCAGAGTTCCCCAGAGGTCAGGATCCCTCCCAGGGGGCCGGTTTCTCATCCTGAGCTGTCTTCAATACATCCCCGATGCCTGGCGAGGGCCCCTTGCAGCGGAAAGCTACAACAAACACCCTCCGTCGTGATTCCTGCTCACAGCGCGAGCATGTCTGGGGTGAGGAGGAGGAGGAGGAGGAGGAGGAAGATGAGGAGGAGGAGGAGGAGACAGAGGAGGAGACGGAAGAAGAGGAGGAGGAGACGGAGGAGGAGGGGGACGAGGAGGAGGAGGAGGAGGAGGAGGAGGAGGAGGAGGAATGAATCTGCTGGGCCCATCGCCAGTAGCCGGCCGCACTCCTCCGAGTGCATGCGGAGCAGCTTGCTGCTCGGCACCTCGGGCCGCGTCTTGCGCAGGCGCTCCTGAAGGGACCCTGAGACACACAAATAAAGAGACACAAATAGAAGGATTCCCCATCTTTCCCCTTCTTTCTGGGCTGGTGTCTTCCCCCCCCACTTCCCATATTTTCCCACATTTCTGTGGAATCGACGATTCATTGTGTCTGTGTGTTATTTCCCCTCCTGAGCTCCAGCAGCCTCTCGTTGTCGCGGTTGATGCGGTCGGTTTCCTGCCTCCGCAGGTCCACGTTGAGGCTGCTGGCGGTGTGGCCCCTGGCCTGCCCCAGCGGGCTCTGCGACGACCTCCGCCTCTCGCAGGGCCGGGCGAGGTCGAGTGGCGATCCGAGGAGGAGGAGGGGGAGGGGGAGGAGGAGGAGGAGGAGGGGGAGGGGGAGGAGGAGGAGGAGGAGGAGGGGGGGAGGAGGAGGAGGAGGAGGAGGAGGAGGAGGAGGAGGAGGAGGAGGAGGAGGAGGAGGAGGAGGAGGAGAAAGAGGAGGAGGAGGAGGAGAAGGAGGAGGAGAAGGAGGAGGAGGAGGAGGAGGGGGAGGAGAAGGAGGAGGAGGAGGAGGAGGCCCGGCTCAAGTGGACATCGGCTCGCTGCGCCCGGCGCTGGCCCGCCACGGCCCGTGCCGGTGGATCGAGCCGCAGCGAGCAGGGCAGAACAATCGCGGCCCTGCCCGTCGACGCAGGTCGCGTCGAATCGGATCGTCGGCGGCCCTGTTTTGAGGCGGCGCGCCCGATCGCGGCCCTGCCCGTCGACGCGGATCGCGTCGAGTCGGATCGTCGGCGGCCCTGTTTTGAAGGCGGCGCGCCCGTGCGGGTGGGTGGCGCGAGCAGCGGCCTTCGAAGAAGGCGCGGGGGGGGGGGGGGCATCCGAGGAGCCCACCCGGATGCTGACATGGGAGCTCCGCACCTCGTCGTCGGACCTGGGCCAGAAGAGCACCCCTCCAGAACGTGGGATCCGCCGTAGCCGAGAGAATCCAAGGCCACCCTCCCCAGGGCGCACCAAGACAGCCAACAAACGCGCAGAACACCAGGGCACCCTCCCCGAACCGACCTCGATCTTATACCTCGGTCCGACAGTATCAGGACCCTGCCTCCCATCTGAGGAAGGCCCCCGCCTTCTTAGTAGGTCTCCCCCCTCGCGCCGCCAACCCTCTGCAAGCCGACACCTGTCAGCTGGCTGACAACGGGGGGGGGGCAGCCCAAGGAAAATATCCATCGCCACGAGGCTCCCGCAGACAACTGAACATACATTCGGGAACCACGCGCAGGAAAGAGAATGTTTTTTACGCTTCGCGCACACGGCCGTCACTGGGGACTGCTCCCCCCTTCTACCCCCCTTCGCCGCCCGGCAGCGTCACGGCTCGCGCCGGCGCCGTTTGGGCATTGCTAAGGGCATACCCAGTTCCCAGACGGCGCCGGCGCGAATCGTGGCGTTGCGAGGCCCCTCGCCTCGCACCCCTCCCGCCTCCCTTACGGTGACGTCCGCAACCGCAGCCGGTGCCCTACAGGGCGAACGTGTCTGCCCACACTGGAATCTTCCCTCATGGGGCCCGAGCAAGCGGGGTCGGAGGACCGCGCCGCATCGCCACTGCCTCGCCGATGCCTCGCCGATGCATCGGCGACGTCGGCGATGCGTCGGCGCCCTTGGCGTGGAGAAAATCGGGCTCCGCAGGGCCGCTTCCAGAAGCCCTGAACCCGACGATGCTGCCATCTCTCGGGGGGGCATCTTTTACTTCCGCCGCCCCCCGCCGCCTTCCGCCAGCGGAGCTGCCCTCGTTCTACTTCCGCCGGCCTTCCGCCGAGGAAGAGGTGCCCACTCCTTCAACCCACGAACTCCGTGGATCGATGCACGAACTTCGATCCAACTCCTTCGACCCACGAACTTCGTGGATCGAACTTCGTGGACCCAAGCCTTCCTCTTCCAGAAATGCAGTCGAGGCGTTGACCTAAGGAACCCCAAATAGGGAACGAGGCACCTTTTTTTCCATAAGTTAAACTTCGATTTCCGATCGAAAACAGAAGGAAAACCTGAGGCAAGCTGTGAAAAACTTAAGGAACGCGGAGCCCCTCCCCAACGAAGAGGGTTCCTTCTTCAGGGCCCCGACTGTAATGGCCTCGCTCAAGGCGAGGCAATTATTTCTTGAACACCTTGAGTTGAGCCGCATCGCCGATTGCATCGACCATGCGGTGCGCTCCTCCGACCCCCGTCTACCCAGAACCCCATCGGGGACTCCTGAGCCCATCACATCCACGCCCGCGGCCCCGCATCGATCACCGTATACCCACGCGACCGCGAGGGCGAAGATCGGGACATGTTCGCCACTTATGGGAGAATCTGAAAAGAATCAGAAAAGAGCCAATGCCGCTACTCTCTGGACCTCTCCCGGGGTTCGCTCGAGAGGCAGCTTTTCTTTAGGTTCTGGCGACTCTACTTACAGGGAGGGGGGAGTCCGACGGGGGGCAGGCGATCCCCCAGAGGAAATCTGGATTTCAAGCAAGCTGGGACTCGCTTGCAAGCTGTTTCGGCACAGCATTGCTTGAAACTTGCCGTCGCTCGAACGTCCATTCCCTGTGCATGTTTTCAGCGTCGCGCGTGTATTGTTTGCAAGATGGTCCTCGCCGAGAACAAATGTGCACGTCCGAGCGATGCCAAGGAAAAGGCGGCGGGGAGGGGGTAGGGGGAGGGGGAGGTAATGCCATGCAAGTAAGCTTGCCTGAGTCTGAAGAAAAACGCCCTCTGACCAGAAAATCGCAGAGAGTCCGGCGGTGACGACGAGAGCTCCAGATTGAGCAGTGGTATCGGCATCTTCCCCCCTCTGAAATCCAACATTGCGAGAACATCGCAACATCGCAAGAGGACCAAAGGCCCAAGACCCCATCTTCCTGCCGCATTTCGCGAGTCGGGCCGATCTGTGATGGTGCTTGGGCCCCGAACCTGGCGAAAACGCCCGGTTTTGAAAATCTGCCGCGCCCGCATCCTAAGGTTAAGTCGGGCGTGTCCTCCTACAGGAGGATGTTGGGCGAAGCATAAAAAAGTACTAACAGAATACCCCCAAAATATTCGAAAATAGTAACAACATCGTCCCCAGACTATGTTTGTATCATTTTTTACTATTCCCCCTGTAGAGGGACACGCCCGACTTAATCCCAGGGCCACCCTGAGCCCGTGAGCCCACACGGCGGCCCACTGAGGCGTCCTAGACTGACCCTCGCACGCTGCCAACAGAAACCTTCCTGCGTGATCCCTCCACGACGCGAGCAGGTTCGGGTCCCGCGGTCCAACAAATCTACCCCTGGCCTGTCCTGGGGTGCGCTATGGTAAGAATAGGAGGGAAGATCCAGCTGTGTCGACGAGAACGCCCCAGGGAACTCAGAAGGACAAAACAATACAAACCAACAAACAAAACAGCAACACAAAGCATGCAGACCTCGAACCCTCGAAGCTTGCAAGCTCGATTCTGAGGCCCCCCCCCTCCAAGGCGGAGCTTGAGCAGGGATCGACCGTCCCGGCATTCCTATAGTCCTACAACGAAGTGTTCTTAGAACCCCAAAAGCAATGTTCTTAGAACATAAGCCAGATGTGTTAAACCAAGACAGACTCCGCCAGAAACGTTCTAAGAACATGTCGTGGAAACCACAGAAGGTTCTTAGACCATTGCTTGGTAGGGCTACAGGTACGCCAGGACGCTTCGCCACTGCTTGACACAGGCGGAGCCGCGCCTCTGGAGGCCCCCCGTGGAGACCGCGTGCTCCGGCAGGGCGCCGAGGCCGCGGGGCCCGCGGGGGGCTTTCGGCGCCACCGGCGCGCCGCTGTTGACTGCGGCGCTCGCCCTGGCGACCTGCGGGGGCACTGCTCCGAAACTGCTCCTCCTCAACCCCCTCCTCCTCCTCCTCCTCCTCCTCCTCCTCCTCCTCCTCCTCCTCCTCCTCCTCCTCAGAAACCCAAACGAGGGCGCTTACGCGCAACCTTACGCGGCAGCTTATGCGCCAATGTCGGCACCGACATTGGCGCGCGAGCTGCCCAGGAAAGGTCGCGCGTGAGCGCCCTCGTTTCCAATGTGGCGTGCCACGCTGGTGGTCCGCGTGAGCCACTTCGTAAGTTCGCAATGCCATCTCTTGTCGCTGTGTTGCCATTGTTCACGTCAGCTTGTCTGCGTGGCTCAGCTGTCGCCGTGCTGAATTGTTTCGCGACGTCGGATCGCGCGGTCGGCAAGAGCGGGGAGCACAAGGGCCTTGGGTTTAGGTCGGGCATGTCCCACTACAGGCGAATTTTGAACGAAAAGTTAAACATAGTTTACCAAGATCCCCAAAAAACAAACATGATATGAAAAATCGTCCACTGACTATATTTTTGACTATTTTTTAGTATTCCCCCTGTAGAGGGACAGGCCCGACATAAACCTTGGGGAGGAATATTCAAAAACAGTCAGAAAAGAGTCTGGGAACTATTTTTTGACTATTTTGGATTATTGTTTGAGTATGTTTTATTGTCCCTCGAAAACCCCCAACTAGAGGGACAGGCCCGACGTGAGCCTTGGGCCCCAGATCTGGCCGAGGCCGGCGCGTCCCCCAGAAGCACCCGCCCCGGCGTCTCCAGCTCGGCTCGGATCGGCCGAAGTTGTTCGGCCGGCGCTCGCCGTGGCGACCCGCCGGGGCATCACTCACGAGCAGTGGTGGTGTTTGAAGGGGCCCTGGGACACACAACTGAATAGACACACAAAATGGGATGTCCCATATTTTCCCATATGTTCTGGGCGTTTTGTTTCGTCTTCCCCCCCACTTCCCATATTTTCCTATAGGTTCGGGGGAATCGACGATTCATTGTGTCTGTGTGTATTTCTCCCTCCTGAATGCGGCTTGTTCCCGAGATCCTGACATCCTCGCGACGTGAACAAACAAAAATGACGGACGTTTTGTAGCCGTTTCGGCCTCCGGGGGCCCTCGCCAAGGCCCACGGGACCGTCAAGAAACGACTCGGGGTGGAACGCCGATCCCGGGAAGAGGTCAAGACCTCTGGCGAGGCCCGATGTGCAGAAAATCATGATGTCAGATGTCTGGCCTGCGCAATGGCACGAACACCAGCACAGGGGTGTCTCCCCTGCGGGAAGATAAAAAAAATGCTGGCGCTGGTGATCATATTTCGGCCACCTAAGAAGCCCGAATATTACAAGCATTCCCGAGATGTGAATCAGCTTGCCTCGATGGAGGCAGACGCCGTTCCTGGCGTTGGCGCCAACCTCAAGAGGCCCTCGCCAGGCCCCAGGACCGTCGGAATTGGAATCCGCACCCGCCCTGGGGGAAGGATCGGGACTTTCTGGAGCCCTGTCTGGGCATCGCACTGCTGGAAGTAATGCGGAATGAGGAGCGACAGGGCTCGTGCTAAACCCGTCAGAGATGCCGGAACTCATGGGGGCTGCCGTCAGGGCCTTCAAGAGCGCCGCAAGAGGCCCCCAAGGCAGTCTCAGAAGGCCCAGAGTCACCCGAAGTCGTTCCAGGATGCCCAAGATTGCCTCCAGACGGCTTCAACCGCCTCCAAGACGTCTGAAGATGCCTCCAATACCACTCCAAAGAAGCCCCCTAGGAACAACATTCAACGATTTCCCATTGTTTCTTAAGGTGCTCGGCGTTCTCCAAGACGGTGAGCCGCTAAGACGACCTAAGAGGCCCCCCAAAAACCCCACCACGGCCCAAGATGGCCCCAAGATGGCCCAAGAGGCCTCCAAGACGGACAGAGAGAGCGTCAGGACGGCCCAGGAGGGGGCCCAGAAGGGGGAAGTCGAACGGGCATTTCGAGTCCTCGGCCCCAAGAGGCGTCCAGGCTGCCCCAAGCGGCCCCAAAGAGGTGCCTCAGAGGCGCCAAGAGAACCCCAAGAGGCATCCAAGGCGCCCCAAGGAGGTCCTCAAGGGCCCCTAAAACTACTACAGAGGACCCCCCCCACCGAGAACCCTGCGAAGAGACACCAAGAAGCATCCATGAGGACCCTCACCTTTCACTCACGGCCTAAGCAGCGCCGACCAGAAGCGCCGCATGGCCCACGAACGCGCACGCAAACGTCAACGATAGCACCATAAGGACCGGCGGAATGAGCGAAACGATCCGCCGCCCCATCGGTTACGGCGTGTGAGATCCACAGCATGGTCTTAAATAGTGCCTTGTGTCAGTCTCCTCTCCAGCGCGCTTTTCATACCTATCCCTGCCTCTGAGCCCTCGCAACCCCTCCTAGGGCCCTCCCCGCGCCTCGCTCATTCCGCCGGCCTGGGGGCCCCGGCTGCGGCCAGGGTGCCTTCTGGCCGCCATTTCCGTCCCAAGATGACCCCCCGTTCATGTGCTAGCCTTCCAGGCGCCGACTGGGCCGACTTTTCGGGCCTCCAGAGGCTCTCCTGGGCTCATTGGCACCCTCCTTCAGGCCACTTTGAGCCGTTTCAGATGCCTTTCCAGCTCTTTTCTAGCCACATGCACCAGAACACCCCAACAAGTAAAAGACAGTGTAACACACACACACGCACATAGGATTTTGATGATTCTGGCATCATCGCACTTCTCCTTAAGCCTCTCTCGGAACTCCCGTGCATCTCCGCTGGCTGTTGCGGCCATCTTAGAACCCGGGCATGCTCTTTACGACCGTCCTGAAAAACTCTCGGGCCCATCTTGGGCCGTCTGGCCGCCTTCTTGTCTTCCAGGAGCCGTTACCAGACCCGGACTGCTCTTTTCCCCTTCCTGTTTTCATCGTTCACCCCAAGTCGCCGCACTTGACCCATTCTGGTTACTATTTTTGGCCCCTCTAAAGGTCCCCCTGGGACGAGCCTGACGGTTTTGTTAGCTTCTCTAGCCTCTCTGCAGCCGTCCTGGCCTCAGGGTCATGTGAAAAACACTCCTCGGCGCGCTTTCTGGGACGAGCCCGACGGTTTTGATCGGTTCCTCCAGCCGCTCTGCGGCCGTCCTGGCCTCAGGGTCACACGACACAGAGCTCACTGCTTTCAGTTCCTCCAGCCTCTCTGCGGCCGTCCTGGCCTCAGGGTCACACGGCAGAGAGCTCGCTGAGGAGCCCAGTCCCTCCAGCCTCTCTGCGGCCGTCCTGGCCTCACGGTCACACGACAGAGAGCTCGCTGAGGAGCCCAGTGCTCATTCCACAGAGCCCCACGAGGGCTCCAAGCGGCTGCACCAGCACCAGCACCAGCACCAGAACATCCCCTACTCGCGCGCGCGCGGAGCGGCCGCCGCACCCACAGAGTCATCAGGATCCCAAGAACGGTGGGGCGGCGGTGTCTGCTCCCTCAGGGGCGTTGAGTAAAACACACGTCGGTCGGACGAAGTAGTTAAAAGCAGAAAGCAGGAAGGCGGACAGAGTGGATTGGGTCCAGGCCCCCCCAGAGAACAACAAAACACAGCAAACTCAGGTCGATTCTTGAAGTAGGAAGGCGCTTGAAGTAGATCGGGATCTGGGAATCCAAAAATACCTACGTTCAACGACCGGCTTGTAAGGAGCGACGGGGCTCTTCTGTGCACGGCGCGCCTCGGCCACGAACAGTTTGCCCGACCTTCTTGAATCCCACAAGGCGCTGCCTACTTCAGCGTCCTGCCTGTGCCTCTCCCCTGAGCACAGTGGTTGCACTTAGGGGTTTTCGCTTCGCTGGCCTGGAGAGTTGGATGATGGGAGGGCGGGGGGGGTTAACCTGGTGCCCAAGTGGTGGGCGCCCGCGGTCAACAGAGTTCGAGTGAAGTCCAGACTCCCTTTTGGGCCTCGCCACGCCCCCCCGTCCCCCAACGATGCAAATAAACCTGCTACATTCTATTGGAAAACGCCATCCGACGGGGGGGGGGGAAACATGATCGACCCACGAACCGGGAAAGGAATATAGAAATGCAAAAGACACCTGGTTGGTCGACGGGCAAACGCAATGCTGAGTGTATCGATCTTGATGTACTGTGCCGAGGGCTGTGCTGTGCTGCGCCGTGCTGAACTGCGATGTGCCATGCCGCGATTGTGCTCTATAGCGTTGTGGATCGAGTCCTCCTTTGCATCCGAGTCCTGACCGAACTGATCTGGATCTTCAGCGCGAGCTGCCTCAGCACATAGTAGCTGCCCCAGAGCTAATTGACTGGGGAATATGCCAGGAGGATGCGCCGCGGAACGTCCCAAGGGACGCGCCAGGCGACGTGCCAAAGGACGTGACACGGGGACGCACCGCGGGACGTGCCGAGGGGACGCGCTACGGAACGTGCCAAGGGACGCGCCGCGCGACGTGCCAGGGGGACTCGCCACGGGACGCGCCACGGAACGTGCCAAGTTGCGATGCTGAATGTATCTCTCTTGATGTACCGTGGCGAAGGCTGTGCTGTGCTGCGCCGTGCTGAACTGCGATGTGCCATGCCGCGATTGTGCTCTGTAGCGTTGTGGATCGAGTCCTCCGTTGCATCCGAGTCCTAACCGAACTGATCTGGATCTTCAGCTCGAGCTGCCTGAACACAAAGTGGCTGCCCCAGAACGAATTGACAACGAAACATGTCAGGAGGACGGCGAGGCGACATGCCAAGGGACGTGCAACGGGGACGCACCGCGGGACGTGCCGAGGGGACGCGCTACGGCACGTCAAAAAACGTGGTCTTTGCTCGGGGCAACCATGTTAGATATCCCCCTGGATGGCCTGGACACCTAAAACCACATGGTGCCAACTCGGGAAACCATGTTAGATACACCCCTGGATAGCCTGGACACTTTAAAACACGTGGTCCTTGCTCAGAACAATCATGTTAGATACCCCCCTGGGTGGTCTGGATACGTAAACATACCTGGTTCAAGTTCGGTACAACCTTGTTAGATACCACCCTGGGTGGCCT